TGTTCTTCATATGGTAATACAAAGAGTCCAAAGTATAGCAAGACTTGCTAAAGCCATTACCGAAAAATTATTGTCAGTGAGACGAAATCTGCTGCTAATTGAGGTTTCATGCTCCAATCAAAGAACCTTTTTCGAGATTTAGAGGATGAAGGCTTGAAAAATAAGCACAGTTGAAATGTCTGAGTTAAGAACAGAATAGAAAAATGAATAGACAAAAACAAAATAAATAAGTGAAAACAAGATAAATTAGTAATGGGAAAAATCATTATCCTATATACATATAATAAATCAGAATCCCAACTAAAATTTCATATATTATAAAGAGCAATGTATCTCGAAATACAATCACATAGCTTTTCAAAATAACAAAGAAGGAAAAGCAAACAACTAGAAGAGAACTTAAACTTCACCATTGGAACTTGTTTCTTTGCTTCTAGAAAACCTCCTCATCCACTTCTTCTGTGATGAAGTAAGACAAGAAGATGCCATTTCACGAGTTTGAATAATACCTTTCAATCCTTCTGTTGATGGAAGTTCGGCAGGCAGTGCAGCAGCCGCACTTGTAAATGCATTCAAAACAAGAAATGCTAATATCGGTGACAAATCCAGCCCTCCTAGTGGTGGAATAAGTCCCCGGAATATGTTCAAGTACGGATCACATAAAGTGCTGAAGAGTAGTGAAAATGTGTCTCAGAATATAATCTTCAGTTAAAAAAATGTATAAAAAAATCATAGAAAGAGGTTTGATTTGTAATTTTACCTAAGGGGGCTGACAATTGCTGGAGGGGCATTAGGAAACCAAGTCAAGACGAGCCTCACAACCAACACGGTGTTGTAGATGTTTAAGAAATTCGAGATCCCGTTTGTTACAACAACTCCAGCTACTGAATTACCAGGTAAAATGGCGGCAAAATTTGAATTGGAAGGGATGGACATATTCCACTTGTTCATTCTTGGAAGCTGGCAAAAGGAAGGTTCCAGAGCACGTTTCAATCAGTATAACTATAACCGTAACAAATATATTTTAGAGGAAAATCGGAAATTCAAGACTCAACTCGACAAAAGACTGATCTCATATTTATCCGAGCTCCATTTTTTTCCCCTTTGTTTCTTCTTTGGTGTGTGTGCTCACTCATGTGTGTGTGTGTTTTCAGAGATGGTAGATTATTCCCAATAATCTCATCTCACCTATGTAATGTAATAAAATAGGTAGGGAAACCTAAATGGATGGCAGTAAAAGGTTGTCCAGAACACCTAGAACAGAACACAGACCATTATAATTTTCATTCAGCTTTAGTTCTTCATATCTTCAACATTTTAGCATAGTGTAACATTATGCAAACNCAAATTGTTGCATATATATCCATGAAAGCAAATTACCAACAAAAGAACATTAATTCCAAAATGGATGGTTCTCTTTTGTTCTTACAATTAGAATCTATCTCTAAGAAATCTTCTATTATCCCACATATCATTCTATCTGAAAATCACAGGACAAGCATCAGCCAACGCTATCCCACCTAAAAAGCTCGAATCTTGTGAACAACTAGTGCTATATTACTACCATAAATTTCATAATGCTCCTCGCAAAAAAGATAAATCTAAACAAATCGCACTATTTAACAATTATCAACGGTGGCCGTAACAAAATGAAAGTAACCATCGAAACTGAACAGGAACTGTATGTAATAGGCAACTGAAGCTTTTTCATACCTGACAGCCATTTCGAATATGAGCATAGAAAGACAGAACTTTATCAAGAACCCTATTTTGGGCCCTTAAAATATCCATCATCCTCAGGCATTTCTCAACATTAGAGGCTATGGATTTTTGAACTTCCTGAACAACCTTCGAAGGGTTCGAGCTTAAAGTCTGCCTGGAAAACGGAGAGCCGCGAATAAGATTCCAAGGAGGTGAGGACAGTGGGAATATGAGAAATTGTGGGGCGGGTTTTCCAGCGCAATTGTTCAGCTTGTCTACTGCCTCCGGTGAGTGGTTTGAGGAAAGGCAAGTATCCATTTTTGTACAGAGTTGCAGAAGATAACGAGAAGAAGATATTTTGGTATTTGCTCACTTTTATTATGTTGGTGAAATTTGTAGATCAGGTCATCGGGTTCGGGCCTTGTGTATTCTTTTGGAACGGAAAAATTTGCACCAGAATGGCTGAATTAATTAAATTAAATGTGTCAAATTACACCTTAAAATTTGAAATTCTTAAAATGAGGCTTGCTTTATGAATTTTTCTTACATAGAAGTTTGGATTTAAAAACTCACTTCTGCGAAATCTTTGACTACACGAGTATTTATTTAAAAAATATTTACATCAAAATTTTAAAAGATAAACATAAAAATTTTATTTTAATTTTTTACAACTTTTAAAACTACACGACGCTAGAGTGTTATACGTGAACATAATATTTTTTAATCGCGTTAGTTTTTTTAAAGTTTAGAGAACTAATTTTAGTATCACTATGTTGAATTTTACTTTGAATAATAATAATTATGACAATATCATAAAATATTAACTTGAGTACATTCTTATAAGGAAAAACATCATACGTTATTTGAGAATGGCTGGTCTTCGGAATTTGGAATTTATGTTGAAGGAGATATTTTTCACCATTCTGTGCAGCAATGTGGCGGCCGACGTGAGGTGGTCGGACGTCCCTATGAAGTGGTCGAACGTCTGCTGCTCTTTCATGGCGGATGGATGTCACGCAGGTAGACGTGGCCAATTGCTGGACCGGGTCGCGGCCCGTGACCAGCCCACCCATTTATGTGGGCCGATTCATAGAACCAACTCTGAATCGCCGGTTCACCGATCAGGCGGGTTTCGGGCGGTTCTAGGTTGGTACGGCCTATTAAAAAAAATAGTAGCAACACTACGGCCCTTCTTCAAACCCGCGGCCCGCCTGGACCGGCGGGAACAAAAAATAAATTACGAACCGCGACCCTAAGGGTCCGGTTCAATGAACCAGGCCTTAGGAGGCCGGTTCAGGACCGGTTCGAGACCGGTTTCGGGCTGGTTCGACGGGCCGAGTCGGCCCTTGGCCATGTCTACACGCAGGTTCCCAACGAGAAGGAAGATGATTCATATTCTCCTGTGCAATGACATATATGCCCTTACTTAATTTGTCAATTGGGCTTGTAAATTTTGGACTGCTACCAATCATTTATTTTGGGCCTTGTAATTGGGCTGTAAATGCAAGTCTACTCATATCAAATTCGTGTCATTAACTCTAAATTCATTCGGGCCCTCGCAGTTTTTAACTCCAATAACTATTTCGAACCTATTTTCTGTCAAAACTCAATATAAAGCACATCATCATAGCTTAATAAAATTAATTAAATAAATAATTAATTATAAATCAAAATACAACAAAACGAACACGAAAATCACTATAAATTGCACGTAAATTTGACGCATGTCAACAACCCCATTTATTAGGTATCTCTAATAACTGAGGATTACAACATAGTTTGTTTAGGTAGTATACAAAAATATTCAACTTGTAGAAAATGAATCAAAAAATGATTTGTTTAGATAGTATACAAAAAGTAATCATATGTTTTGGATATTTCAACTTGTAAAAAATGAATTAAAAAATATTCTACAAACATGTTATTTATTTATTATGAAGAATGTTTTTGTGATTCATCATGCATGTTTTTAAAACATATTATATCTAATTTCACTTTTATTAGATTTAATTTGTTTGTGTAGAAAATGAAATAAAAATATTCTACAAACATGTTGTTATTTATTTATTTTGAAGATTGTTTGCGTGTTATTCATTGTGCATGTTTTTAAAATATTTTATATCTAATTTCACTACTATTAGATTTAATTTTTATGTACAAAATTTAAGATAAAAAAATTTATAAAATTCAGAAGCATACGAACACTTGTAACTATTTTAGTTTGTAAAGTATAAATTATGAAAATTAGATAAATAATTTAAACTAAAATCTTTAATAAAAAATAAAATAAAATTTTATAAAAATACCTGTCAAGTAGACATTGCCAATTATATTATGCCATGTGGACCCGAGAAATTCTCTCAAGCCTTAATTTTTTAAGATGTTAGTGTTTGTTTGATTTGATCCAAAAATCGATTGTGATTTTTTTAGTTGTTTTTTATATGAGCCAAATTGTGTAGTATGTGGTTAGTATAGTGAATAAATAAAATTTTGTGTTCGTTTTTTTTATTTTTTTGGGTTGAATTAAACACTAGTACGTATATTACACAGGCACTTGTTAAGAAAATTATATATGAAATTAAATAATAATTTAAACAAAAAACATTTTAGTTTGTAAATACTTTTTTGAAAAAATATATACTATTTACATTTAAAATTACACCGTCATTTACACAACTTACCATCTTATATTATAATTTTTTTTAATCCATATTAGATAACTACATTATAGTTATGTTAGTTTAAATATTTTTTATTTTTTTGAATTAATATTATAGATAATTAATTTTAATTATAGAGATAAATATAATTATTTATTCATTTTGTATGTAAAATGTAAATGTCAACCCGAAGCTCATCAAAACATGATTAATTTGATATGTAAAATAAATTATTAACTTTTAAATATATTAATAGTTTAAGTTAAAGCCCAGCTAGGAAGAAGCTTGGAGCAGTATGGAGAACTAGATCGATTGCAAGTGCCTTAAGGCCTAATGCTTAACAAATTTTAAAATAAATATGAGAAAAAAAAGAAAGATTGAGAAAAAAAATTATGCCTTATAAACCACATCTACAATAAAAAATGATATTAAAACATAATTAATACTCTTAAAAAAGACCACAAATATTCAATACATTTATGGATATATTCCAAGCCTAGTTATTTTTGGATTGAAAAAAAAAAATTAAAATTTATCCAAGCCAAACAACAAAGCTTAAAAATTTTCCACTTAGGATCCCGAAGCGTGCGAGTCTGCCACTTAAACTCAGCAAATTCGAGAATTATATATAGGGGGATTAATAGTAGATTTTTCCACATAACACAATTGTCAAATAGAATACTACAACACATCAGTGTATACAACATTATAAAAATAAATATTTATATAATAAAAATAAAAATAAAAAAGTTATCATTATTATAAGATTATAAGAAATTCATATACAACAAATAATAAATTACTACTAGACCAATCCCCTTATATATAATTACCGAAAGTGTTGAGCCTAAATGGCAAGCTCACATGCTTCGGGATCCTATGTGGTGAAATTCCACGCTTCATTATTTAGCTTAGATAGATTTTAATTTACTTCTAACCCAAAAACAGATTATCCATAAATATATTGATTATTTATGGTAATTTTAGATGTATTAATTGCATTTTAGTATCATTGCATATTACAACCATGAATTGTAAATGGATTTTAAAAATTAATAACTTTTGTATTTGTTATCAGTTTTACACATATAATATATCAAATTAATCATCTCTTAATTGGCTTTGGTTTGACATCCATATTGTATGTATAAAATAAATAAGTTATATTTATCTTTTTATTAATAATAAAATTATTTATTAATATTAATTAAAAAATAAAATTATTTATCAATTAATAGATGTATGTTTAAAGTAGTTATATTGTATAAACTAAAAAATTATTATAATATAACACAGGTAAGTCGCGCAAATAACAAGTGTTATTCAAAAATAATAATAATATATAATTTTGTAAAAAGTATTTAAATTTTAAAAATACTTTTTGTCATTAATTTTTAATTTTAAGAATAATTTTTTTAACAAACACCTGTGTAGTTTTTTTAAAGTTTAGAGAACTAATTTTTGTATCGGTATGTTGAATTTTACTTTGAATAATAATAATTATGACAATATCATGAGATATTAAATCGAGTATATTCTTATAAGGAAAAACATCATACGTTATTTGAAACATGCTAATAATGCGAAGTTTGATCAAAGTTTATTTGACCTCTTGATTTCCTTAATCACATTACATGGCTTAGTAGTTAATGAATAAAATAAATATGTTGTCTAAAGAAATGTGTATTTCGCATGTTTGAATAACAATTTCACTATTCCCCTTATGTATAATTCCCCTCATCCCCCTCACATATCATATATAATATCAGAACGCGCTAGGTCTACTTATCAACTTTTCACGCTTAGTAATCTTATGTGGCAAAATATTATGCTTTGTAATATGGCTTTGATAAAAATTACTAATTTTTTTATACCAAATAACTTAGCTTCGGATTGCCATATATATAAACACATTTAATATATCAAAACTATTCCATATAAATTTTTTACTATCTTCTTTCTATAACATGCACGTGATCTTATTTTTCAAATTTTGTTCTTTGATCTTACTTTCTAAATTTTGTACTTTGTCCATATTATTCTCTTATGTGTTTTAAATGAAAACATTATAAATAAAACTCGTAATGTATATAAATTAGTTTTCAGAATTTCAACTAATATTGTTGATTCATTTAGTTATTTATAATGAATAATTATATATTGTTCGTTATTTTTTTTTTTTAATTTCAACAAGAAATATATTTTTTTTTTTCATTTTCTGTTGTACATTCAGTTATTTTATCAATTATCCGTGTAGTACACGAGTATTGCACTAATCTAATTTATAATGAAATTGATGTATTATTTTGAACACCGGATTATCAAAATTTTTTATTTATTATTATTATTTTTTTTAAGTCCGCCTTCATTTCCCTCTCATTTCACCGCCTCTAACCCTACGATTGTAGCGGCATTGATACAAATAATTGCAAAAAGAGAAGAAAACAAATACAAGAGGCGAGAGCAAAATTGAAAAAGGGTAATAACAGAAGAGCCACAAATTCGACAATGAAGAATGACGGGACCAGAAAAGAGAGAACAAAGCTGATTGCTTTGACCGGTGCCGCCGCCCTTCTAGCCGTGGCCGTCAACTTCGCCATCGCTGCGGTCAACGCTCACTTCAAGAATCGCAAGAGAAAAGGTACTTGAAGATACCTACAGGCTATATCTGTGTGGATGTTTATATTAATTTTTTGTCTTTTTTTTGTTTGTTTGTTTGTTTGCTGCTGCTGCTAATGAGTCAAGTCTAATTGGTATGTTAGTCTGTCAATTGGGTAAATACTTTAGCTTGAATTCAAAAACCAGTTGTCTTTGCCCATTTTGAATTTTCTGTAATCTCAGTTCCCACAATGTTTGTCATCTCAAGAATATTGGGGATGCATTGTTGGTTGGGAGTACCGAGGTTTTAACAACCATTTTTAGTCGTGATGACTTCATTTTAGTGCAAATACAGAGAGCTCAGTTGAATCTTCATTAATTCTAGTAAATGGACGCATTTGATGGTAGTGTCTATTCAACTGACGTATTTATTTTTGAAATCCAGTGGTTCCTGGTACAAATGTAAAAATAAATTTATCTGCTTCCGAGATACTGAGATTAGCAGACAGCATTATCGCGAAATCGAAGAAGGTCCATGACATGGTTGCTTCAGTCCCTCTTGATAAGGTACGGATTATGAGGATAATTGTAAAGTTTCACAACATATTTAAAGCTTATACCTTGTTTTGGCTTTCTCTAAGTATATTAGCGTTTTGGGATAGGCTTATATTGCGCCTTACGATAGTGAGTACACTTCGTATTTTGATATACGGAATTGAGGTCTCAAGATTATGAACTTGTATGGGTCCGGTTTCTCCTTAAATAGGAACTCCACACTCGCCCTCCAATGTTACAGAGGGAATGGAATATATTGCTCTTAGGTTGCTTACAAGACATGTTTATATCTGAATGGAACTACCATAGATGAAATTAACATAGGAGTAATGTTATTTATCTGTTTTCTATACGAGTACTCTACGCTCTACATGCCTAGATTCTGTGTTTGTGCTTGACCAACATGTATTGTTCTTCAACCTTCAAGAACAAAGTAAGAGCTTTTAAGCTTTATTTTTCTTCTTAGCTTTAAGGATCGTCGAATATTTGTGTTGGGCTTATGTTTAAACAGTTTTCGTGATGCCCGAACGTAAAATTCTCGATTCGAGATTACTTAATATTGATTGTTAGAAGGTCCCCCGATCTTTATCTTTTTCCTTTTTTCTTTCTTCACGCACTAGTACGTGGCCATGATGCATGATTTTTAATGATAAAATTCATACATTAAATCATGAAACGAATATTGATTTATATAAACATATTGTTTACATCGAATCAGTTAATAATATTCTTAATTATTTTCTCTCTATCTGTCACTTTTTATTAATACCTTATCATAATAGGTTTATTTACATCCAAAACAATTATTAGTGTCGAAGTTGAAAATTGTGGTATATATATTCTAATACGTCATTAAATTTGTAAATAAATTTAAACTAGTACAACACCACACAGGTCCTAGTTAAAAAATGCATACTTAAATCCTAAAAAAATATTAGAGAGATTTTTTTTCGAATTAAAATTTCAAACATTTTTTTAAAAAATTACTGATTACATTATTATTTATATTTATACTGAGATTTTTCACTTGCACGATTTGTCAATCTTACATTAAAATGATTTTTCTAATTCATATGTAATTTTATTTAATTTATAAATAATTTAATTATTTTTTATTAATATTGTTGCATAATTTAATTTTTATTATAAAGGTAAATATATATTTTTTTATGCGCAATTTGAATGAGTGAATGTCAAATCAAATCTTATTATGACACGATTAATTTGATATATCCTATATGAAAATCTAATAACAAATACGAAAATTATTAACTTTTAAAATATATTCGTAATTTAAGTAGGTTAAATGTTTTATGATTTTAAAAATCCTAATAGGCATGGATAAAAGTCTAGATTTTGTAGTACTATAAACTAAACACATTGAATTATGAAACACCAGAATTTGACGCGTAAGATTACAAAGAACCAGAAATTGACGCGTAAGATCAGGACATTCTGCATTTATATTTAGAGAGTATATCTAAAACAACACTTATTTATTCTAAATGGATGTAATATATTATTTCCAAGTTATAAAGTCTAATAATTTTCAATTAGAGTATTTGATAAATTATAAATTATTTTATATAAATATTACGATTTTTCTTTTTGAATTACTAATTCATATGATGATTCTAAAGATGACATGTTGGTTTATACTTTTCATTTCATATATTATTAATACTTGAAATAAATGTTCACATATATTTTATATTCTTAGAATAACTTTTTCAAATAGAAAAATATACTAAAAAATTCTAAATACTATATAAATTTTACTCAATGTATAGTTATATTTGATTGATCAGATATCTCTATACTCATTCATCATATTTGAATCTATATTGATTGATAAAATGGTAGAAATAAATATTATTTTTATTTATATATTCAACATGAATGTCGAATAAACAATTCTAAAAAGATAATTCATTTCATATGTTCTATTTATTGTACATAAAAAGTAAAAAAAGTTGTTAATTTCTAACAAAAAAAGATAAAAGTCATAGTTAATAACAAAACGAAAAGGGAAAAAATAAAAGAAGATAAAAATATTAAATGCAAACAAAACTCAAAAAGAAAAGATGAGTAGAAAAGTGAGGAAATAGAAAATTTCCTCTTTTAGTAATAAATAATTTTGGTGGAAAAACTATAGTATATTTTTAATATATCTTAGAAATACATATTTATATTTACTAGTATATATTCCTTTCACAGAGGAGCAAAATTGAGACTGTATTTCAAAAGAAAATATAAATAAGTTATCATGTAATAGTGTTAGTTATAATACAACATCTTTTGGTCCACATAAGTGATAATCAAAATATATAAAAATAATAGATTATTGATATTTTCTTGTCACTCACGATGTTTCTGGTTTGAAATCGGGGACGATAAGTTGACACATGACAAAGTGACCCATAATGCAATTCGGGTCTGATCTTGTCATGTTTTTAGATTATTGTAGTAAAGACCTGGTGATCAAGTCGACTCGAGTTTTAACATAGCATAGTCGATCCCTTTCACCCAAATACCTTTTTTTATTTATAATTTTTTAAAAATATAATTTTATGAATACAATTTATTTTTGATTTATTGTTAAATAGTTATGATAAAATAATAATATTGAGATTCTAGTCGGACATATAAAGTATCTCTTAATTGTATCTATAAGGTTAAAACACTGTATTAAAACAAAAATAAATGTGGGCAATAAACAAAAATAAACTTATTATATAGTAACTTTCTATTAACTGACTAAAAAAATCAATTGAAGTAGCCTAAAGTTAGATTCTTATTATGTGGTTTCCTTTATTTGGTACTAAAATGTTTTCTATTATTACTTAAAATAATTAATGAAAAAACAATGTAAGATGTAGGGTTCAAGTTTGGAGCAACACAAACACCTCCCATTATAATCGAGTTTGCAATGATTCTTTTAATTGGTAACAATGATCTCGTGTGAATTTTATTTGTCCTTTTCGTTAATTAACTAAATAAAAATTAAGATTATGAAAAGAAAATGAATATGGCAACAATGATGTTGCGATATTCCTCCCACATTTTTTTTCTTATAAATGTTATACAATCCAAATACTAAGAAAAAAAGGAAAAATAAGTAAATCCAAAAAGTAAAAAATACAAAATTTCCTATTAGAGTGAATACAATTGGCTGTAATAATTACATACATGCCTGGTTTATCTACAAATTCACAGGTAAATTATGTCAATACAGTACTACCGTTGGCGGAATTAGAAGCACAACAGTTTTCTCTGATACAGTCTTGTGCACTCCCGAAATTGGTATCTTCTTCTGAAGATGTTCGCAAAGCGAGCCTTGAAGCTGAGCAAAGGATTGATTCTCATGTTTCTTCATGCAGGTTATACTTTATTTTCATTCTTGCCTTCAATGAACTCTTTATTGAACATATTCTAATGTAACAATCTAAAATAAGAAGAGAAAACGCCACTAAGTAGGATGTTGCAGGAACTGGGACATTCATCAATCAACCACAACCATATCATGCCTTACTATATGTTTATTTAAGCTTGTATTAAGTTTAGCTATTGGTGCAAATTAAATAGTGGTTCCCACTTTCATGGCTTTTGTTCTTGAATTGTTCTTGTAGTCANGGACTTGACAATTGATGATATTATCTTATATGGTACTTATAAGTCATAACCAACATAAAAAATGTTGTCGAACCCTCTCCGCAGACAATATGAGGTTGTTAATAAATATTGGTTATTGTAAGTTATAATCCACAAAAAATGTTGGTGAACTCCTGATTGGTTCTAGTATTGTACTGGACTTATTCACTAGTTATTTAAGTTTGGTTTTCGCAAATCGTAGAATAAATAAATCAAGCTCGACCTCGAAATGTAGCTCATTTAACTTGGCATAGCGGAAGCTCTTATTTGGACCGCATGCTAGCTTTGGAACAAGTTGTTGTATTAGTTCGTAATGTTTTTTACAAACACAGTCTATTATTTATGTACATGTTGTATTTATATAATACTCCTTTATTTAAACAACATATTATCGTTTATGGTTATTTTTGCTCTATTTATTTAAACAAATCAATTCTAAGCTACTTTAAGCCTGAAACCTAGCTTTGATTTATTTAAAGGCTAGTTACCAAACAAACAAGTCTATATATTTTTTAGTTAAAATTTTGTTTAGAGAGCTTGATAAAATTTATTAATATTGTTTTTTTTTGTTTTTCTAAGTGAAATTTATGAAATGTTCGAAAAGATGACTCATTAAAACTTTGATATTTTAATACTAATTTCAATTTGAGATTATCATCTTTTCAATCGTACGACTATTCTTTATTAATTTTATTTGTTGTCCTTGGAACTTATTTTTCTATTTTAGAGGGTAAAATAAAATTTAGAAATGAGAGAAATTAAAATTTAATATAACTACTAATAAAAAAATTAAATAATGAGGGGGGCAACAAATCCGCCCTTGTGTGATCTCATATCCATTTAATCACGAGCTAGTCCTAAAACAGTGTTGTATATGTAAAAATGCATCATGTGTATTATATACCTTTTTTATACCTTAAGTTTTGTTCACTATACATATTATGGATGTAGGTGTACAATAACAAATATGATTGTAAGATATAATAAAAAAATTAAATAATGAGGGGGGCAACAAATCCGCCCTTGTGTGATCTCATATCCATTTAATCACGAGCTAGTCCTAAAACAGTGTTGTATATGTAAAAATGCATCATGTGTATTATATACCTTTTTTATACCTTAAGTTTTGTTCACTATACATATTATGGATGTAGGTGTACAATAACAAATATGATTGTAAGATATAATATGATTTATACAGAATTTAAATTACTGTATATGGATTCAAGTCCATCTTATTACTCAAATTTCACATTGGAGTAGGGTTTTCAGTCGAGCTAATTAGAAAATATCTCAATATGGCTATCCAATTCGAGAACTCATGTAAAACTGATTGGATCTCAAACAAGAATAATATGCAATTAATATTTGAGGTGAATCAATTTTTGGATCAATTTTGTTGGATGAAAACCCTAGCCACTAGTATAAAGATGTATTCTTTAGAGTAGTCCTTGAACTTTTTTAAGACTGGTCTAAACGACAGTCTTACAGTTTAGTCTATGATGGCTGTAAACTCTCACTAGCTTAAAATGAACTAATTAATTTGATGAAAGCTTTGTTTGAGGAATTGAATGGCAATTTATCATTAGTTTTAAACTAATTAGATAGTACTTAATTTCTTAACGTGTCCAAACTTAGTAATTATTTTGTTGGTCTCTTCAGCAGTGAAAATTTTAGTATTTTACTTTCTTCGTGGATCCTAATATCAGCACTTTTCTTTCATGTATGCAGAAAGCGTGACGATGTTTATCGTGTTATCAAAGCTTTCACAGCCCGAGGAGACTGGGCGAATTCTCAGGCCAAGCGTTATGCATTGCATTTGGTACGAATTTGTAAAGAAATTATCTACAGTCTGCAATATCTCTCTTAAATGGCCTTTTTTTATAGGCTATAGGCATCTTCACTTGTTATCTATAACGGCTTGGCTATTGCGGGCATTCCATAATTGGCCGCACAGCCCTTCGCTCTGAATTTCACGCTACAACAATGTTCTTCTAAATATTGAATGTAACACAAATAAAGCATTATAACATATAACATTGGAATATCTTATACATTTTCCATACATGATATTGTATAATTTATTTAATTGATATTGGAATATAATTCCAACTTCAATTTCTATTTATGAGATCACATTATGCTACTTCTATTTCTGGTTTTGGACAATGCGCTCATAAATGTCTATATCACGTTATCATATAGTTGATTCAGTTGACGGCTGGCTCTTTGAAAAAGGAACCTCTTTTTNCTTTATATTTCATCTTAAAGCAGTATCATTAGTCAAATCCTTATTTAAATGTTTAGTGACAGATTCAAGAATTTGAACGGAATGGTTTGAATCTCACCTCAACCAAGAGAGAGGAATTGCAGCGTTTAAGAACACAGATAGAGGAGCTAAGTATGCTATACATCAGAAATCTGAATGATGATTGTACATTTCTTCTTTTTGATGATATGGAGCTAGTTGGTTTACCTCCAGAGTTCCTCAAGGTTGGGACTTTTGATCTGCCCTTTCACATATCTCTAAATTTCTAATTGCGATAAATTTTCCCGGAGTTAGTACATTATTTTGTTCTTCTATAATATTCTTATTATAAAATATTAATATTGCCAGACTCTGTTAACAAGTGATACGACGCTGTGATTGTTAAAAATTCAAATTGTCGAAGCTTAAAAAATTAGCATGCAAGTTTCTTCATCTGCTCTCTCTCTCTCTCTCTCTCTCTCTCTCTCTTTCTGAGACATCTGTGTATATTTCAGAGTTTGGACAAAGCTGAAAGTGGTAAATACAAGGTTGTGATAAGAAGCCTTCATGTGTCACCCATTCTAGAGCTATGTAAGGTAAAAGTCTAAGTAAGGCTCATCTATGCTCTTTTCCCTGTTAGCGAGATCTCAATTGTTTTGTCTTTTCAATTTTCTTAAGCATTCGTGAGATAAAATTTACAGTAACATAGATAAGAAATTCAAACGGGAAATTTATTCTATAGAACTAATAGTTAGAGTCCTAATGATTTGATGTTTTTATAGAAACTTGAACGTCTATTGCTAGATGCCAAATGGGGTACGGTTGTTTATATGTAAGTTCATCTTAAAATGATAGGCAGTATCAAAGATGGAGTAATAAAACTTGTAAAAGAACGACTGAAAATGTTTATAGTAAATAATTGACGTGTCTTCCAGAAAAACGTTGTAAGTAAACTGAAACAATTATCTTCACATTATTATGAAGATTCAGTTGATCCATTAAGCAATCTAACTTTCAAGTTAGTAGCAATTATGTCTAAAATCTGCTTTTTTCAACACTATTTGGCTTTGATGGATAAGGATTTTAAGAGTTGTGGGAACACCTAAGTGTCACTTTGGAATTAAGTGAAATTTGTGAAAGCTCTTGAGCAATTACCTAGGATTTTTCATTCTCAATTCATTACTATCCAATGTATT